GGAGCAGCAGCAGCAGCAGCAGCAGTTACAGCTACAGTAGCAACAGCAGCAGCAGCGCCGCAGCAGCAGCTGCTGCTGCTGCTGCTGCTGCACTTGCTGAGGCAGCAGCAGTCAGCAGCTACAGAAGCCGCAGCGCCAGAGCAGCAGCACGAGCTCGCTTTGCTGCTCTCAGCTCCCCCCGGTCCCCATACAGCGGAGACCCTGCTGCAGCACTAGCTATCTCAATCGGAGACACTTCTCCTGCTCTCGTGTGTCTCCTTTCACAGCGCTTCCCCCCCGCAACACCCCCCGCTGCACCCCACACCCCCACCACCCCCACCAGCAGCAGCAGCAGCAGCAGCAGCAGCAGCAGCAGCAGCAGCGGAGGAGGAGGGGAGACACGCAGGACTGCGTCTAATCCTCATGTGGGGGGGGGGCCCCCTGCCCCCTGCAGAAGAAATACACGCAAACACTCAGCCCCCCCCAAGGGCCCGGTGAGGTTCTCTCTAAAGACAAAAGGAGACAGCGAGAATTTGTCTCCTTATGGAGACATACAGCAGCATCAAGTGTCTCCTTATAGAGAAAGACAGCAGCAGCAGGTGTCTCCTTGTGGGGAGAGACAGCAGCACGAACTGTCTCCTTTTGCCCGCAAGCAGCAGAATGGAGTGTCTCCTTTTGGAGACACACAGCAGCAGCAGCACGAAGTGTCTCCTTTCGGAGACACACAGCAGCACGAACTGTCTCCTTTTAGAGACAGACAGCAGCAAGGGGCAGAGGAGACAGCATGCAGGGGCCTGGCTGCGAGAGGAGACAGTAAAGGAGACGCGGGGGAACCCCTGTTGCTGGAGAGAGGAGACAGAGACAGAAACGGAGACACTTATACACTCAACAAATACTGAAAGGCTGGGCCTCATATATAAATATACACAAACAACGCAGCAACTGTCTCCTCTTGTGTCTCCTCTGCTGTCTCCTCTGCTGTCTCCTTTGGTGTTTTCTCTGTCTCTTTCTTTTTTATACTTTTCTTCTCTGGAGACTGTCGCTAGAATACCCTGGCTACAAGCCCCAGCCAGCCCCAACCATGCACATGCATGCAACATGCATGCGCATGCATACTGCATGCATACTGCATGCATGCATGCATGCATGCATGCATGCATGCAGGGCCCCACAGAGTGCGTTGCCTTTGCTGTCTAGACACCGCTGCGGGGGTGTGGGGGTGGCGGGGGGTAAGAGAGACAGCAGCGTTGAGGCTTCTTTTTTTTTTTTTTATTTTTTTTAATATTCTGTATCTGGTGGAGACAGTGGAGACACCTGAAGGAGACACTTGGTGTGTGCTAGCGAGAAAAGAGGAGACAGCCAACGAGCTCTTAACATTCACGCAGAGAGAGAAAGAGAATGAAGGTGTGTCTGGCTAGCTAGCTAGCTAGCCACGCAATATCTCGGCTAGCTAGCTAGCTAGCCAGCTAGCTGTCTAGCTAGATACGTAGCTAGCTAGAGATGCAGAGGAGGAGGGCCCCCAAAGGAAAAGAGGAGACAGAGATGAACAGAGTTTCAGGTGTATAGGCAGCTCACATGCAGTGACACTGGAAATGTGCATGCAGAAGACACCTCAACAATCTTTTCTTTAATAGAAGCATAATGCATGCATGCATGCATGCATGCGAACAAATGCATGCATGCATGCATGCATGCGAACAAATGCATGCATGCATGCATGCGAACAAATGCATGCATGCATGCATGCAGAGAGATAGAGTGTGGGGCCCGCAGAGCCACTCTCTTGGGCTCTTACGTACACAGAGTAACCTGCTGTCTGCGCTAGCTAGTGCTAGCTAGCTAGCTAAATATCTAGCTAGCTGGCCGGCTAGCTAGCTAGCTAGCTAGCTAGCTAGCTAGCTAGCTAGCTGAGAGCGGCAAAAAGAGTAAACAATAAACTCAAAGATGAACTCGCAAAGCAGACAGAAGAAAGATAAGAC